GACCTAGCGGTGTTAAGCTAACGGCTGCAAACACAAGACTGAAAATAAATAACAATCATTTAGTTTGTAATGTTCCTACGATATGAAGGACGCTGCTGCCTCTCTTTGCTCTTGGCTAGCAGAAGGTTATCGTTAGCCTTGTTCCGTTAGCAATCTTTTTTTTTGTTAGTATCATAAAGCTTCCCCAGCTAACGTTAGCCAGCTAACGTTAGCCAGCTAACGGATCCACTCAGATATTATTTTGCTAGCGATAACGTTAACAAGCAAACCAACTAAGGCCAGCTGATTTTAGCCAACGATAAATGATGCACTACAAAGCTAAGGTGTATACATTAACTAGCTAGCAATTTGACCACATTAGCAAGCAAGCTAACTTTAGCCAGCTCAAACTACAATATGACAATATATCCCAGAAGCTTAGCAGTAATGTTAGCTTTGACTTTGTGTTTGGTGAGCGCTGGTTGGTTTCAACAGAACGTTTTTTATGTAACAGTTTGTCTCTGTTACCGTGACGTAACCATGACGTCACTCTGACGTACAGTTTCTTGTTCACTGATTTATATTAAATAGACATTAAAGAGTCAATGTCTGTACTTGAGAGCTCAGTGAAGAGAAAAAGAAGCTCAGTTACATTCCTTTATACGATGTGTTCACTGTGCTCCTCTGGGATTGAATTTAACCCTGCTGGAACTACAGGATGTGGTCTGTAAGGAGAACAGCAGAACAGGCTCTCTCTCTCCCAGTGCTTTAAAGGCCTGTGTGATAATCACTCCTACAGACTTACATTAGTTGTTGTGCTCGTTGGGAGCCTGTTTGACTGAAACTGGGTCGGTCACAGACTCATAGAGTCCCACCAGTTAGATCTGCTTCAGTCTGCTCACTGTCCATCAGCACCGCTCTGTAAACTCTCTCCTCTTCTGTCCATCATTCATCTGACTCAGCACCGACTGCAAGGGAGGGTCTACCACTGTAGTACACACACACACTGACACACACTGACACACACACACTACACACAGTAACACACACACAGTGGTGTTGGTGTTGTGTCACTGACACACACAGTAACACACACACACACACACACACAGTGTGTGTTGGTGTGTGTGTCATTTGTGTGTGTTTGTGTGTAGTGTGTGTGTGTGTGTGTGTCAGTGTGTGTGTGTCAGTGTGTGTGTGTGTGTGTGTGTTACTGTGTGTGTCAGTGTGTGTGTGTGTGTGTCAGTGTGTGTGTGTGTGTGTTTTATCTCCACTGGCCATGAAATCAGCTCAGAGGACTCCGTCTGTTGTTTTCTTGTATGTTTTGCCGTCTTTCCGTCAGTCTCTTGTTTCGTCTTCATCCTTCGCTCTCTCATCGTTTCTATTTGAACTCTGACGTTTGGATTGCTGCACATTGCAGAGGATATCACTGGGTAAATGTCCCAGAAGCATACGTGGGCAAGCCAGACCTTCGTTGGACTGATCAAACAGCTGTGAGGATTCAGTGAGACAGGATGATGCTGTCTATGGCTGCTGTAATAAAACAGAGTGTGGCAGACTGAATGTACAAAAACTCTAATAATAAACATTTATGCTGCTCATAATGAAACCCATGATGATAATCTTAACCACTAATCCACTAGAATATGTATTATAACTCAGTTCGGTCTGCAGACTCTGTGAGCACGAGGCATGAAAATATAATGTCAGGTGGTAATTACGTTACCCCATATTATCACGATAATCAATAAAATATATACTTTAAACACCTTACCCTACATTTAATCTTTATTAAGTAAAGCCGATCCTTCATTCATGGTGGTGGGTTTAGGATTTAAAGCTTAATAGCTTTTAATGACATATATGTATATATGACATTAGTTCTTTTTATCGGCCCTACGGAGGCACACACAAACTGTATACACATATATATACATATATATATATATATATATATATATATACAGTTTGTCAGTGTGTAGATGAGCTCAGCTATGAGTCAGGCTAAAGACAATTCAAATAAAACTGGAGGTCTCACAGATGCGTTTCAGAGCTGGAAGCCGCGGGTCAAACTGCTAGCTGCTAACTAGTTAACGGATCACACACTCAGTTACCCACAATCCACCTTTGTTAAAGAGGAAGGATCTGTGGGTGGAGGAAGTGTTCCTCATATATCTGACGGCTGTATTATAAGCTCCTTTTGTCAGAGATATCCTGGCGTGGGCTGAATACAGAAACCCCTGGTTACAGAAAAATACCTTATCGTGTAAACACACAGATTCTATAGTGATTAATACAATGCTTCCTGAAATGAGGCACAACGATCATTAGACAGTAATGAAGCTCTTCTCTGTTATTAGCTCCACTGTCAGTGTGGCTGTGGGCTGTGGGTGGTGAGAGGTGTCAGGGTACGGAGGAGGAATAAAGGAAGAGAACAGGAGGAGGGGGGGCAGGTACAGGTGTTGATAGGTTGGAGACAGCATGCTGCTTGGATACGACAGGAGGAGAGACAGGGGGAGAGACAGGGGGAGAGACAGGAGGAGAGACAGGGGGAGAGACAGGGGGAGAGACAGGAAGAGAGACAGGGGGAGAGACAGGAGGAGAGACAGGAGGAGAGACAGGAAGAGAGACAGGAAGAGAGACAGGGGAGAGACAGGAAGAGAGACAGGGGAAGAGACAGGAGGAGAGACAGGAGGAGAGACAGGAAGAGAGACGGGGGAAGAGACAGGAGGAGAGACAGGAGGATTCTGAGCAATAATCCATAAAGAACGTATGAGCAACAGGATAGTGAGACAGTGTAGTCTGATCAATAACCATAAAGACAGTGTAGTCTGATCAATAATCCATAAAGACACAGTGTATTCTGATCAATAATCCATAAAGACACAGTGTATTCTGATCAATAATCCATAAAGATACAGTGTATACTGATCAATAATCCATAAAGACACAGTGTATTCTGATCAATAATCCATAAAGATACAGTGTATACTGTAAAGAGGTTGTGAGGTGAAAACATATGAACAGATAAAAGTGCAATAAAGGCTGTGAGGAGGGTGAGGAGGGTGAGGAGGGTGAGGAGGTGAGGAGGGTGAGGAGGAAAGTGTGATGTGATGTCGACTTCCTCAGACGTGTTTCCTTCCTGTGATTTGTTTTGCGTGTTCGAAGGTTGTTACTTTTATTTGACTTCTGTTCAGATTGAGTCATGTGTTGAGCTTCATGTGTTTTCTGTTGTGTGTTTAGGCTCTGTTCGCTGTAACTAAAGGTTAAAGAAGAGTTTGTCTGTATTCGCTCTCCAACGTTTTCCTACAATGTGTCAGACATTGTTCTGTTGTTAAAGCTAATTCACCTTGTTTAATATCGTGCATGTATTCTCCCTTTAATCTGCCTCCCTGCAGCAGTTTGAGCCTAAAATAATCCAATTATTTCTGTGATTCATTGTCAATAAACGGATCAATATGATGCTGAAATTACAACATCATGAGTGATGATCATCATGAGAGAGAGAGTCACAGAGTCAGAGAGAGAGTCACTGAGTCAGAGAGTCTGAAAGAGAGTCAGAGAGTCTGAAAGAGAGTCACAGAGTCAGAGAGAGAGTCACAGAGTCAGAGAGAGAGTCACAGAGTCAGAGAGAGTCACAGAGTCTGAGAAAGAGTCACTGAGTCAGAGAGTCTGAAAGAGAGTCACAGAGTCAGAGAGAGAGAGTCACAGAGTCTGAGAGAGAGTCACAGAGTCTGAGAGAGAGTCACAGAGTCTGAGAGAGAGTCACAGAGTCAGAGAGAGAGTCACAGAGTCAGAGAGAGAGTCACAGCGTCAGAGAGAGAGTCACAGAGTCTGAGAGAGAGTCACAGAGTCAGAGAGAGAGTCACAGAGTCTGAGAGAGAGTCACAGAGTCACAGAGTCAGAGAGAGTCACAGAGTCAGAGAGAGAGAGTCACAGCGTCAGATAGAGAGAGTCACAGCGTCAGAGAGAGAGTCAGCGTCTGAGAGAGTCACAGTCAGAGAGAGAGTCACAGAGTCACAGAGTCAGAGAAAGAGTCACAGTCTGAGAGAGAGTCACAGAGTCAGAGAAAGAGTCACAGCATCAGAGAGAGAGTCACAGAGTCAGAGAGAGAGTCACAGAGTCTGAGAGGTCACAGTCAGAGAGAGAGAGTCACAGAGTCTAGAGAGAGTCACAGAGTCTGAGAAAGAGTCACTGAGTCAGAGAGAGTCACAGAGTCAGAGAGAGAGTCACAGAGTCAGACAGTCACAGAGTCAGAGAGTCTGAAGAGAGTCACAGAGTCAGAGAGAGAGAGTCACAGCGTCAGAGAGAGAGTCACAGAGTCAGAGAGAGTCACAGAGTCTGAGAGTCACAGAGTCAGAGAAAGAGTCTGAGAAAGAGTCACTGAGTCAGAGAGTCACAGAGTCAGAGAGAGAGTCACAGAGTCAGACAGTCACAGAGTCAGAGAGTCTGAGAGAGAGTCACAGAGTCAGAGAGAGAGAGTCACAGCGTCTGAGAGAGAGAGTCACAGAGTCAGAGAGAGAGTCAGAGTCTGAGAGAGAGTCACAGAGTCTGAGAGAGAGTCACAGAGTCAGAGAGAGAGTCATAGAGTCTGAGAGAGAGTCACAGAGTCAGAGCAGCACGTTAGATTGGGGATTTCTGGGATTGTTGCAGCCTAAAATTCCTGATTTCACAACAGTTTTTCAAAACTATTGTGAGAAAGTAAAAATGTCTCTTTTTGTATTATTCATTAAACATCGAAGGTTGCACGTATTGCGGTGATTTAATTGCGATCATTGCAGTTGTAACTTTGTGGCTGTAATTTGATTAGTTCTGTGTCAACAAAGGAAAACAAACAAACAAACACACGACTATAAAACAGCGATTTGTCATTTGGGCAGAGTCAGGCTGGCTGTTTCCAGTCTTTAGACTGGTTTTCCAGTCCAGGATTTCACTAAATGTTGAACTAGTCCTTTTTTATTACAGCTGATGTCGTTCAGAGTCCAAATGTTTGAAAATAACCTGTTTTCTTTCTGTTGCAGCCGACCAGTGAGGAAGACCTCTGCCCTATCTGCTACGCTCACTCCATCTCCGCCATCTTCAAGCCCTGCTCCCACAAGTCCTGCAAGTGAGTCCACACACACACACACGAATAAACCACCAACACACACTGCTACTTTTATCTTTAACACCCCACACACACATTTCATCTCCGGCCTCCTCACTCAGTCCCGGAGATATATATACATGAATGCAGCTTATTACCGTAATACGTAATAACAACAACTAGAATATTTCCTGAAGAAAATGTGTGTGATTGCTGCATGGGCTCCTCACAGGCTCTTATTCTGAAAGAGTCCCAGCAGGAAGTGTTTGTGAGCTTGCAGCAATCACACGATTAGTGCCAAATTATTGGACTTACGAAATAAAATGAATAATAATATAATTATTGTTACTATTATATCAATCAAATAGACAGCCTTGACCTCCGCCCCGTATCTATAGCACTGACATCTGCCCTGTATCTACAGCACTGACCTATACACTGTATCTACAGCACTGTTTTAAGTCCTGTATCTGTCCTATCTTCTGTAACTTTGGTATTATTGTTAAATGGACTTAATCAAATCTTTATTAACTGTCTCTGAAAGACAGTTAGAGTCAAATAATTGGACTTACAGACCTCTGCCCTGTATCTACAGCTGACTTATGTAACAATAATATCATTATTGTTACTATTAGTTAAATCAAATTAACAGTACATATCTCTGACCTGTATATAGCACTGACCTCTGACCTGTATGCAGCACTGACCTTTCATTACTAATTACAGTTATAAGGAGTTCGGTCTAGACCTGCTCTATTTGAAAAGTGTCCTGAGATAACTTCTGTTATGAATAGGTGCTATACAAATAAAACTGAATTAAATTGAATTGAATTGAATTGAATTGAATTGAATTGAATTGAATTGAATTGAAAACAGAGCTAACAGAGCTAAGGCAGTCCCTGTGCATTTTTATAGCAAAATATGTAAAATTCAAATACTTTGCACTAAAATGTCCAGATTTGGATCAACAACACTAGGAAAGGTGGTTTTAGGGGTTTTGTTACTCTTTAAATATTTAGAGCTCTCTGCTCGTGTGCTAACTACTTCAACTCAATCACATCATGTGGTGTTCAGCTGTTTCTGCTTCCTCAATGTATGGATTTATTTTTTTCATCAAATACTCTAATTTTAATTTGTGAAATTAGTTAAACTACTCTACAATTGTTTCCTCCAGGTTGTTGGTTAAAATAGCGTATTTTAATCAATGGAATAACTGATGCTGATTAACTAATGACTGACATCCCTCTGAAGTGCTCATGTTAAAACAAAAACAGTTAAGAATAAATATTTAACATATTAAATCTCTTTTGAGCTCATTAAATAAAAAAAATTCAAGATGTTTTAAAAAGATAATTTGTTGTTTGTGAAATAAAATCTGAGATTGGAAGCTTTTAACACTGTGCTGTATATTTGATGTACACACAGATATAGGTGTGTGTGATGGTGTGAGTCAGCTGTTTGGTAACTGCTGTGGGCAGCAGACCTTCGTCCAGCACAGACCTCAATACATATTTCATGTTCTCCTGGAGGTGCGCTTGATTTAGCTTCGCTGGCACGCCAACTCAGCAGCTGTATGGATTATTCTGCTGCTGATTGAGAGCGCTGTCACGAGGAGTAAACCGGACTGAGCTGAGCTGAGTCTAATCACATCCAAGGCTCAACTCAGGCTCCTTTTTACCCACGTTGCACTGCTCTGAAGCACCACCTCATCTCTTTTTCAATTTACTTTTAATTTCTCTGTTTTTACTTTTTTCCTTTGTTCCTTGTTTTCAGTCACTTTATCCTCCTTTATTGCTCTATTACTCTCACTGAGTAGGTGAAGAAGCACTTTTATCCCGGAGGGGCTGCGAGCCGAGCTGCTGCTAACGTTAGCTCAGCTTGTTTCTCTGATAACTTAAGATCCAGACGTCCGATGACTAAAATCCTTCATCCGGTTCAAATCTAGAGTTAAAAAGCACCAAGATCTAAACAGTGAATGGTAAACAGTCAGTGTGTGACAGCTGGCAGACAACCACAACGCTGACACAGGCACAAAGGGGATATGACGCCGTTGACAGGCGACCAGTGAAACGCAGCGTTACCTGAATAAGATGACAGATTTCTCTGAGTTTGAACATTGAACAACATGAAACCGGCTTCATTCCAGTTCGCACACCTAGTTTCGAACTGTTCTGAGCATTTGACCAAAAATAAATTCAGGTCTCAGGTTTTCCTTGGGAACTGAAGCGGGCATTTCAAATTTTACAGGTCTGTTGATGACGATTCTACTAAAAACTAGTCAACTAGTCGTCACACGTTCTTAATATTGCTGTATTGATTATAATCTGTATAGGCCTGTTAAACAGAAACAGCAGTAATGATTCTGAATGTGTCACAACAACCAGCAAGGAGACTGAACATTCCCGCTCCGGTTCTGTCGCTCATTCGGGCCCCTC